AATGAAAACATGGAGAGACTTAGCTGATGTGCTTTAAATTCTGCCTGATAACAAGCTAGCATGGCTTAGTTGATAAAGGTTAAGTGCTGTCTACTGGGAAGAAAGTATGAGACTAAGACCTTTAGACAATGATAAGAGCTACTAGACTGACTGTGGGTACATTGTCAATCTCCAAATCAGAAAGGGGGATGTAAAGAACGTCAGGTTTTGTATATAGTTATACTTTGATCAGTTTGAACAATTCCAAGATAGATTGGTGCTACAGACCTAGAAGATAATTTCTCAACATTACTACCCTGATACATGTCCCATGTGATTCATGTTGCTATGAAGATGAGTTTTGAGGAGGGAAGAGTCAATAGCAAGCCACTGTAGTAATAGATTGCAAGTTTTCAGAGATATCCCTGAAATTCAGACACAAGCCAGTAGGTAACCATCTGACAGACAGAAAGCATGAGTTAGAGGAAACCAGTCCTGCTCCTGAAGAAGTGAAAAAGCTGACCCAGTTGTTCTCCACACAGAATTTGGGTGGGAGCTCACACTCAGATTGAAGTGACTAAGTTTCTGATGATTTAAAGGAGACTGGATGATCTATCTAACTTTGGCTAGAGGGAAAGCATCTCCAGTGTAACGATCACAGTGAAAGTTAGTTCTTGGATTAGAAGTAAATTTGCTAGCAATGGAAAAGGAAAACAGCCATCTGAAGCTTTGCATAGGTTCCTTAAGTCTACAGTGCCCACTTAATTTTTTTTTTATTCATTCATGGGATGTGGGTGTTGCTGGCTAGGCCCATCACTAATAGCCCTTGAACTGAGTGGGCTTGCTTGGCCATTTGAGAAGGTAGTTAAGAGTCAACTACACTTCTGTAGGTCTGGGTTCATATGTAAGCCAGACCAGGTAAGAATGGTTGATTTCCTTCCCCTAAAAGTCATTAGTGACACAGAAAGGATTTTGCAACAACCAACAGTTGTTACTTGCTCATCGTTAGATGAACTTTCAATTTCTATTGAATTCAAATTTCACCATCTGTCATGGTGGGATTAAAACCCAGGAACCTAGAACATTAACCTGGAACTCTGAATTACTAGTCTAGGGACATTACTGCTACACCACAGCCTCCCCCAGAAGATTTTGCATTAAAATATAAACGGAGAATTCATTTTTGCAGTTTAGATAATAAGTTGCCTTTTGAATGATGTTTAGAAAACATTGCTTTGGTTTATTTTTGTTACAGTAAAGCCTTTAAAACCTGAACTCTTGCTATATGACCGTTTCAGTTCATCACTGGAAACTGAATTATCTTTTAAAAGTTATCAGTCTCTTCAGGAATTGTAACACTTTCATAACATAATTAATCTTCATTTATCTATTCTTTTGCCGAGACAGCATTGTCCCTGGTTATCTAGTCCCCAGTTCTGACTCTCAAATATTCACTGACTTGGATACTGGCCTGATCATATAATGTAACTACCTGAAAGCCACAGGAATAAATTGGCTAAGCTTTTAAAGAACTGGCACAAGTATACCAGCAATACAAGGTAACCTGAATGCTAAAACACTGAAGAAATTAAGGAAAGTAATATGAGCAGGGAAAAAGTACTGCAGAAACTTTTGGGGCAAAAATTTAACAAATTCCCAAAACCTACTGGCATATGTACAAAGTTCTGAAGAAGTCATATCAGACTCAAAACATTAACTCTGTTTCTCTCTCCACAGTTTCTCCCAGACCTGCTGAGTTCTCCAGTATTCACTGTTTTTACTACAAGACTGCCTTGGTCATCTGCTCCACATAGATGTTTGTTTTTTTTTCAACCCTGCACCCTTCAGCTCTTCATAATCACTTTAGTTTTTCTGTTGTTACCCTCCATCCTGTGCCTCTGTCTGAGAAATACTGTGGGCTATGTGTTCTTTTCTGCTTCTGTTACTCTACCTGATTGCTGAAATTTCGTGGGACTGCATGACTCAGTGACATACTGGCATTTACCACAACTGTTCCTCTCTGTGTTCCTCTCAGATTCAGTTTGAAATCAGTCCTCTGTGAGAAATTATGCATTTATGTTGTTCATCAGAAATACTGACAATATGGACAACCCTGTGATCTACACTTCTGTGTTTTACTAGGGAGCATGAGAGGAGTAAATGGCTCAGATTTAATTATTTTACTCAGTAGTGAACATACTCTTGTGTCTTCTGGCTGCATTAACCAAGCTTATTTTGAAATTGACTGTAATATTCCATAAAGATTTACATGGAGAAGGTGCCAATGAATATTTTCTCACAAGATGTGCTTACAAGGAGTGCATGTATGATTCTAGATGTAGCTTTTTCAAATTAGTATAAATACTGTTATTTTCTCCCAAATAATGCATGTGACCTAAATAAAGAGTGCATAGTGGACTTTTTCTGTTGGTTGAAGATCAGGATGGGAAGTTATGATAAATGTTTCCTATCAGGGAAACATATGGCTAACCTGGATGACCCCTGACCCTCATTAAGTCTTCACAATGAACTGCTGTTCGGGTCATTCATCAGTAACAGGAAGCTTACATACTTGAGAATGGAACAGCCAACTTTTAAATGCTTGCCTTCAGAAGGTGCTTTTTCGAAATGTAAAACAGACAATTTTGTAAAGTTCTTCAACAGTATTCTGAACTAGTATCTATGAGGTGCACTTAGGAAGATGTCCCAGACTTGTAGATGCAGCAATGGAAGTGTTTCTTCAAGAGGTGGAGGATAAGAATATTGTTCCGTTTGTCATCTGAGGGCATTCCAAGGAGGAGCAGTGATGTTATGACATATTATGGAAATAATATCAGGAATACAACAACAATACCTTTAAGGTACTAAAACATTACAAGGTTTCATTGGTGCTATCATAAATGCATGGCATTTTCTTTACCTGCTTTGCCTTGGAGGCCACTGGTTCGCAAAAGAAATTTATGAGCCTGCTGAGGGTCTGCATCTTCTAGAGCCTACCATTCATTTCTACCCTCTTCCCAGGCACAGTGTTGTCTTAATGTAAAATTGACCTGTGTAATGATGTGCATCCTGGCCCCATTTCTGATTAAGGGTCCAGGCCTGAAATGTCAGCTCTCCTGCTCCTCTGATGCTGCCTGACCGGTCGTGTTCCTCCAGCTCTACACTATTATCTTTGACTCCAACATCTGCAGTTCTTGCTATCTACTCGTTCATGAAGTCCACTTCATTGTATCTGGAGGTCTAAATGTTTACATGGGTCATTCATTTTGCCTTGGACATTGGGAAACCTGCAGGTTGGAATAATTGCTGTCACTAAATTCTGTTGTACTTTGCACAAGAGAGTGGTCAACATGCTTGTCTCAGTGAGCAAACCATCAGTGACAATCTTGGTGCATCTATACACTGCTGATTATTTGATGTTAAAGATGTCCATACACCTTGGTAGGAGTTGCAAACGGTGTGATAACCTGGAAGATCACAGATCGCAGCAAACCAATCTTTGGTTTTATGAGGTAAAAGTACTGCAATGATTCAGTGAACCCTTTATTAAAACTTTCAGTCACATCTGCTATTTTATTATAAATATGGTTATAAATGTATTTGTTTTCATAATTTGATTTTTGTGACACAAGTTACTTTAAAAACTGAAGCAATGGTACCCCAAAGTAATAATGGAGCATTCCACTGGATGACTGGCATTGGCTGTACCCATTAACTATTAAAGAGGACACTGCTTAGATTTCTTCAATGGTGTGCCCTAACTTATAGTGACATTTACCAGGAAACATTTTTTATCCAAATAATACAGATCCAATTTACAAAGTTTTCTGTATCATAAAACAAATCAAACTAGTTTAACTATATAAACAATCCAGATATACAATTACAGATGAAAATATACAAAAACCTTGCACACGGAAATGAATATGTGAAGAGGTAAGCTAAATCTGTTTAACATAATCAAAGATTGACCTGAATTGACATATCACTGAGAAATTGCCTGTGGCTTTGCTCTTAGTGATCAGAGGACAATAGGAATATTATCAACAAAGTACAACCATGCTAGCATGGTAGAAAATAAACTTGAGATATTCAAGAAGCGTGTGGTAGATCCCAGGCATTTAACATATTTCTAATAGTTTTGATTAACCCCAAGAGCTGCTGTTATGTTTTTCACCTCCTGCCAGTTTTCTCCCACTTCTTTCCTGCTTTTCTGGAAGTAGAGACTCTTAATATGATATAGTTCTATTGACACCAGCAATCGTCCAGGAGCTGAATGAACTGGCCATTTGCAGAATGGGGATGTGGAAGATACTTAAGTACATTCCCGCACAGGTAATGAAATAAATGTCAGAATTGGTACTGGGAATGCTGGCTGAGTCTGTATTGCAAGTCTATACTGCGTCCAAAGCAAACTGCTTTCTTTTAAAGCATTTTTATATAAAAAGAAATCACACTTTTGAGCCAATTTGGATTCTACTTGTCATAGACTTAATCTATTTGCCATCATTATTAAGTAAAACAATCTTCTCTGTCTGTTGCTGTGAACTTGAATCATATTGGATTTTACGCAATGAGTAATAATCATCATTTATTTCCCATTGTTAATGTTTCGGGTCCAGTGACCCTTCCGGTCACCAAGCCGAAACATTAACTCCGTTTTCTCCTCCACAGATGCTGCCAGACCTGCTGAGCTTTTCCAGCAACTTTGTTTTTGTTCCTGATTTACAGCATCCGCAGTTCTTTTGGTTTTTATTTATTTCCCATTTCTGGGCTATGCTGATGCAATATCTATTCAAGGGTCAAATCATTGTGTTTCAAATCCTGCTGATAACTGCAAAACAATCAGTTAACATGAACTAGTGTGAGTTTGAAAAACTCTTATCCCATATTAAATATCAAAAAATAAAGCCCACCAGAAATCAAGATTCTTGAATGAGACAGTGGTGCCAAGCATAACAGAAATCAATATCTCATCAAAATGCTAAACATTTATATCGTGAAATTTTAAGTTGCTCCATATTACAGATTACAAATTGAAATGCTTTCTTTTATCAAAGGAAATGAATCAACATTTGAATATTAGTCTCTGCAGACAGTCCTCCAATTTTGCTCTATGTGTCTTTTGGGTCGATGACAAGAAATACAGCTGGAGTTCATATGTTCTACTGAGACTCCTTCCATCCTTTAATATTCCCATAGTGTCGAACTGTCCACTTCATCGGCATCCGCCCTAAGTGTGCCGGCTTGATTTCCTCGCAGATACTTCTTGTTCTTTCCTTTGATAGCCAGTCGACCTTGATCTCGGAACTCTAAGTAAAAGTCTTCAGGAATGACACTGTCGGTGCAGATTGTCCCAGTACTGGATATGTACCAGAACTTACCATCAGAGCCTGTAAAGAAAGAAGATGTGCTCAGGAAAATGAGGAAAGAGAGCTAGTATCCATCAAACCAAATTATAAAGACAACCACAAAAATTGATCTCTTCTATACACAATCAGGCTTCATGTCTTTGTTTATTGCACAACGTTGTTCCTCATTGTGCTTTCCATACAAATTTACTTTTATGGGGATAGTGACCTCAATTTGTGGTTTAACATTTCTCTAAATTGGTTTCCTTTTCTCTCTTTTTTTAACAGCTATGACTCATGAAGCAGCTTGCTACCATGGATGACAGTTCTCTATTCCTTTATCAGTCCAGGCAGTAGAACACTTAGTTAATTCTTTAAAAATGATCAATTCTTGTGGTGTGACATCGCTAACAATGCCTGCATCCTTCTCCCTGAAAAAGTAGTGGGAGCCCGTTTTCTTGAATTGCTGCAGAATCAGCTAGGAGGCAACCACCTCAGCATGGGACTTTGAAGATGTATATATCAGAGTGGATAAGAACAGCAAGTTTCCCTCCTGAAAGACATTAGTGAACTAGTTGTGTCTTGACTTCAACAGCTTCATGGTCATTTGTTGCTGCCATCAGATATATATTTTTCAGCAGAATTAAAATTCTCAAATTGCCATGGTGGGATTTGAATTCATGTTCTCTGAACTACTGGGTCCAGCCAGGTCTCAGGGTATTAAGGAGAGTCGAAGTACTCCCAATTATAGTAGCAAATTCTTTATTCTTCAGTCAAATTGCCTGGGATTAGTTGACTCAAATAAAAATGGTAGCCTTCCAGATCCAGAAGTGAGTATGCTGATTAAGCCATCAAATGCATTAATTTCTCTGCAATTTTATGGTTGTGTATTGTTGGACAACATGATGTTGTGTTTGGTGACTTTGTTTCAATCTTGCAGCATTTCAGGATTTTGAAATGTATATAGCCCTTTTGAAGTATAAAATAGGATGAGTGATTTCTATGCATCATGTTTAATAAATAAATTGCCCTAATTAATCCAGGGTAGAACATTTCATTAAATTGCAGAACATGAATAGATTTTTAAAATTTGCAGCATTTTATTTCAGTTTCTCATCTTAGGTTTTAAACACCTAATTTGAGTGGATGGCTAGACTTGGCATGAAATTCCACATGTATTTAATACCAGTGCCTCTGTGTATTTGTAATGGATATGCAAGGGTAAATGATGGCAGCAAGCTTTTCAAATTCTGACAAGACAACAGAGCTCACATTTATATAGCACCTTATCATGTCTTCAAAATGTTTTGAAATAATTCCCCGACAATGAATTTCTTTTTGTTCTAACACCTAGCCACATTTTAGGTATGACAGTCAATTGTACATAGCAAAGTTTGACAAATACAATTTTAGGTGAATAATTAGTCTAATGTTGGTTAAGGATTGTGGATTGACCAGCACATCAGGAAAACTCTTTGTTTCTTATTAGGTAACGCAGTAGAATATTTTTACATTCACGTGAAAATGAAAACATCCATGGCTAAACCATTTAGCCTGCTCGTTCGTGGATACTATGGGCAATTTACCATGGCCAATCGACCTAACCATCTTTGGACTGTGGGAGGAAACCGGTACACCTGGAGGAAACCCACGCAGACACAGGGAGAATATGCAAACTCTGCACAGACAATTCCCAGAGGCTAGAATAAACCCGGGCCCCTGGTGCTGCGAGGCATCAATGCTAACCACTGAGCCACTGTACCATGTAGCCACGGTTTTAATGCAGGAAATGCAACTTTGCACACAGCAAACTCTCACAAACAGCAATGTGATCATGACCAGTTAATTTGGATGACAGATAGTAGGAACTGCAGGTGCTGGAGAATCTGAGATAACAAGGTGTAGAGCTGGATGAACACAGCAGGCCAAGCGGCATCATAGGAGCAGGAAGGCTGACATTTCAGGCCTAGATGAAGGGTCTAGGCCCGAAACGTCAGCCTCCCTGCTCCTATGATGCTGCTTGGCCTGCTGTGTTCATTCAGCTCTACACCTTGTTATCTCATGACCAGTTAATTTGTTTTTTTTATGTTGTTTAGAGGACTAATATTAGTTATGACATCAAGGATAATTCCCCTGCTCTTCAAAACAGTGCCATGGATGTTTTACATTTACTCAAGAAGGCAGATGGGGCCTTTGTTTAATATCTTACTCAAAAGACATAAATCTGTTAGAAATTTATTTTGAATCTATAAATACATACACACGCACACAACCATTTACCTCAAAGAGTCCCATGTTCCTTTAAATTTGCGTTTTAGGCAGAATACTCTGTAACAATTACATTCACTGTTGGTGCAAAATCAAAAGGGTACTGGGGGTTTATGAAAGCTATCTAAATTAACAAAATCTAAACAAACACTCAGTCAGCTTATTGCATGTTGAACAAGGTTTGCACTGACAGCTGGTTAATTCAGACATAAAATTGCAATCCTGACAAAATTATGACTAAGTCAAAGACGAGAGCAATGTTGGAAAACTATAAGGTCATTAAGTCATATAAGCGCAGAAGAGGCCATTCGGCCCATCGGATCTGCAGTAATCTATCTACATTAATCCCATTTTCCAGCACTTGGTCCATTGCTTTGAATGTAATGACATGCCAAGTCTGATCCAAGTACTTTTTAAAGGTTATGAAGTTTCTCGCCTCTACCAGGCCTCCCAGGCATTGCATTCCAGACACCTACCACCCTCCGGGTGAAAACATTTTTCCTCAAATCCCCTCTAAACCTTCTGCCCTTCATCTCAAAATTATGTCTCCTCATTCATGACTTTTCAACTGAGGGGAACATCCATCCTGTCCATACACCTCATAATCTTACACACCTCAACTCACTTTGAAGGGAATCCCCTCAAGACACTGATCACACCAAGCCACAGGGCAAAAGGTCCTTTAAGATTTACAATAGCAGCCTACATAATGAAATACACAGAGGGCAGAACCTGGGGTCTCGGAGACGACTGGCCTGCAGCATGAAGGCAACTTAATTATGTGTGGACTCTCCTATCTTCCTGCTCCACTTGAATTAAGTTCTGGACAGGAAGGCTTATGTGTGACCTTCCTATGACATCACCAATTGAGGGCTTTAAATAGCAATCAATGACTATTTAAGGATCATGTAAGGGCCTATTCCAACCTGGGCTAGAATCATTTCAGCTCCAGGCAGGAAAAAAGAGGCAGCCCACATGACTAGTGAAGCATTGTGAGTAGCCTGTTAGTTGTAGTCGAAGGTCCTTTGACCTGCACTAAATTGGGAATGATGGAGGGAATGGACATTTTGCAGGCAGTGCCACTGACAGCCAACTACCTACCCCCACCTACCCTTGCTTATAACTTCCTGACTACCCCCATTTCCTTGTTATCCCCAACCCCAGGAACCCAGCCCTATAAAGCACCTTCCTGTCACCTTGGTCCTTGCCATCTTTGTTGTCCTTCCTGCAGCAACCATAGGCTTCATCTCCCATGATGCTGCCAAGTCTGACAACTGAAAGACTCTGATTGGCTGGTAACTCGCGCTGGCTGGACATCCCATCCTGAGGACTTGAATTCACAGAAAGGCCCATTATCAGCTTTCAAGCTGCCTGATTGCAAGGAGATATGTGGGCCTTCATGTGAAGAGTCAGCTCAGGTGTCTTACCACGATTGCAATAAGTGAGCAAGACACCTGACGAAACCATAAGATTCTGTCCTGTAACATTATATCTTTATTTAGGTGAGGATTTGTTCACAGCAATTTATCTGATGGTTGATGAAATTGATCCTAGGCATGTTAGCACATTAAAATATATTATAGCTCCAGTTCTTGAGGCTAAAACAAAGGGTCATGGGCTCCAAAAATACAATGAGTTATTTCAATGCTTTATAACTGGAAAATCTGTAAATGTGATGATCTATGCAGAATCCAGTCTCTCACCTTTAATATGATAAGCTCCATTCTCAAACATGAGCTGAAAGACATCATATACTGAACGATTGGCATCAAGTGTGCTGGAGCTTTTGTGGTGACAGACAAATCCATGGTCTCCTCGTAGTACTAGGATAGGCCTATTAATAAGCTTCAATGTAAACTCTTCATCTTCCCCTAAAGCCACATCAAGACAGAAATATCACTTTAATTTTGACTCAGTTCACAGCTTCAGTTGTGATGAAATACAATCAATCATTCTGGGGGAATTTTCTTGCCCTTTGTCTTTTCATCCTGGATCAATTTCAGCATTATAACAAGAGTGCAAAGGAAACCAAATTGTGCTGTTTGCTACTGACAAACGCATTAGCAATCTTTTGAAATTCCTCAGTTTTGTATTTCAGCAAAGATGTTAACCTGAAGTAGTTTCATGTCTTTATTGAATTATCAGGCAAGAAATTCATATGGAAACACACACTTTTCTCGCTGATATCCCATCGGGCAATTTCAAGTAAAAAATATTCAAGTGTGACATTTAGAAAGGACTTTTAACAATCAAAATTCTCCTGTACATATTTCTATAGTTCTCTGCAATGAAACCTCCAATGAAATTTACATTGCGTATATTTAATGTAAGTTATTTGTATACTAATGTATAAAACCTATTGCCACTTTCCAATGTTTCTTGATAAACAATTCTACAGCTAAGGCATAAAATCATTCAAGTTATTGAGATTCTAACCTTTATGCTTTGAAGGACAGATGTTAAAGGTGATGATTTTGAAACTTAATTGAGAGAAGTCATTTATGCACTTATGAATTGAAATAGTAATTGTGACTATTATAAGAATACTGTGTATGGATGTGGTCGACGTATCTTGTGCATCAACCAAAAAATGATTCCTTCTGGAATCTAATATTGTGAATGATATTTTTGCTCTAATAATAAGGGATAAGCTAGCAAGTTTAAATTGGATTTGGAATCTTTACTGTAGCATCTCATTAAATCTTGTGCTCTTTTTCCCTGAAATTGCATTGTGCAATGTTAACGCCCAATTTGTTTGCACATTCATGAATTCCTGGCCTATCATTTGAATCAGGAAACCTGTTCAAGTCATAACTGAAATAATTCCACAGAGGCTAATATCCTGTCATCAAGTCCCCCTTTATTTACACGTGCATAGTAGTTGACACTGATCCAGCTCTCTCAGAGCCAGCTCTCAGAGTGAACAGAACCTCTGACACTCCTGTTTATATCTGTCAGTCAGAGCTCTCTGATTGGATCGGGTTAGCAGCCCCAATCAGGGAACTCCAATTTTATGAGGTCCACCTGGCTTACCTTGTTACAATCACTACATCCCCACCCCCTCTAAGTCTGGGGACGTAGGCCTGTTCTTTCTCTTGTAGCCTCTTCTGTGGCGTTTTCAGACTACATTTGGTTTCTCCATCTCAGCTTCAGATATGGGCGGTATGTACTGGACCATAGCCCGCCTCTTGGCTTCATGTGAAGAGTCAGCTCAGGTGGAATAAGTGAGCAAGATACCTGACTAATGGTAACCAAACCAGCTGCTTCTCATACGAGACTGGAACTGAAGTTCTACCCTTAATATGTAAAGGTTCCCTGGTATAGGTACTCAGTGTAGCTGAGGTCTTACAAATCTTAAGGGTTGGAATCCATTGTGAATTTTTTTAAAGACTGGCTCTGCACTCAATGATACAGCCACACTGGTATCAACCTCCCTTAGAACCAGGTGACCATTTAACCAGACGTTTGTTTTGATTAGTTCTGATTTGGATGTTAATAAGCAATTTAACTGTTCCGAACCAGCTCTGTTAGATTCTGGCCGATGAGTTCTCTGACTCAATTCTGACCTAGTGGGACTCTTTTGCTGCCTCGGGTTTGCATACTGGCAGCAACTGCAATGGCTTTGCTGGCCCGGATCCTGAAGTAAATGTTAAACGTTTGGCCAAGGCTTGGCTTTGTTTTGGGGTTTTGCTGTGGCTGACTGAGAGTCCTTCAGTTCAGGATATGTCCTGAGTGAGGCTATGCAATTGCCTTCACTCAAGTGCTGTCCCCCAAGCTCAGTCGAACAGGCGAGGGTGTTCACTTCCATCTGAATACCCTACAACTCATATGCTCCACTTGCCGCATTTTCCAATGACAAAGCCCGATGTTGTGCCTGTTTGAGCATAGTTTTGTCTCCTCTAGTAGGTGCTTTTGCATGGTTACATCATTAATCCCGCATACCAAGTGGTCTCTCTGCATTTCATTAAGTGTTAACCAAAGTCACATGCCTCTGCCAGTCATCTAAACCTTGTCAGGCATCCCAACATGGATTCCCATGGTTCTCAAACTGCCAAGTAAAATCATTAGCATCTCAGAATCAAAGCAGGCTTGGGGTCGTAATATGCCTTAACTAAATCTGTCAACTGTTGGAAGGTTTAGTATCAGGTACCTCAGGAAACGTTAGGATCCTTATAATTGAAAAAGTTGCAGGTCCATGAGCTGTTAAAAGAATTACTTGTTGTTTTTCATCTATCCCAATGTCATTTGCCTGGGGTAAAAAAACACATTCTTTCCACATACTGGGCCTAGCCTTCGACAGCAGGATCAAATCAGTCAAGCTTCCCAAATAACAGCATGATGCCAGAAATGCTTATCCCAACTCAAAGATGACTGGTGCGACTGAATTTCTTTAGGAATGTATTTGTTTCTCTCACTATCACCAAAATAACTCCAGAGGGGCCAGTATTCTATCACCAAGTCACTTTTTATTAACATGAGCATAGTGCTTGACACTGGTCCAGTGTCCTCAGAGCCAGCTCTCAGAGTGCCAAGATGTCTGACGCTCCTGTTTATATCTGTCAGCCAGGGCTCCCTGATGGGGGCTGTTAACCTGCTTCAATCAGGGATCTCATATTCTATGAGGTCTGCCTGGCTGAGCTCATTACAGTCACTACAATAACCTTTGTTGCACAAAAACATGTTAATGTGAATAATTTAACCCCTATCAACATGACTAAGAATTGGTTGGCATTGATTTATTGTAGTTACTGAAAATAGCACAATCAAATCCATCCATCTGCAGCTCAGCTTTTTAAAGTTTCTTTCAATCTGGATTAACTCACCAACTGAATCACTCACTGATGCAAGATGCCCGTTTTTCTTTGTACAAATATATTTGCCATTGTTAGCCTTGATTGCTATTCTGCGTCCGCGCCATTCAATTTCAAACATACAGTTGGCATCTCTGGATTAGAAAGAGGAAAATAATCTGTTCAGAAGACCTGGTCACCTTCTCAGCAATCATCTCACACTTGTTCTCATCCAGGAACTCATACCCAGAAGCTGAAACTGAAATGTATACCATTTCTGTGCAGGTTGATAGTATTCATTAAAGTTAAGTAAGGTACATATTACAAATTCCACATTGTGACCAGCCCAGATTACAATCATATGTAACATTACACATGTAATAACTGTAACACAATCGAAATTGTGTGATGCAAGCCTGGTGAGGTAGAGGGAATGGCAATGTGGGATTGATTTTGATGAGAAGTGAGTGATATTTTGTTGATAAGCTTTGGAAGCAAAATGACAAAATGCATAGTGATTGCAATGACATAAATGCACCAGACACTTTGGGTCATAATTCACACTTTGGGGTTAATTCAGAATTTAGATTGTAGAGTAAAATGGACATTACCTACCTTTTTCCATAGAATCCCTACAGTATGGACTGTACCTGTTCTATATCTCTCTGATTTTTATTTCTACTGATTTACAATGTTTATTTCCATTACCATCCTGAATTTGTGAAAGGTGTTGTACAAAGGTAATATTTTATGTTACTGATTGGATCTCTTTCTTCCACGTCTATAACATTATTAACATTAACTTACGCTTCCACCAATCAAGATTGATTTTTCCAACTAGCTCCTTCCCAGCCTCACTTCCTTTGTCCTTTGCAAACCTAAAGTTACACCAGAATTCTATTGCCCATATTCTCTACTATGCAGACTACTGCATATTATGTGTTCATTCTTTGCTCACCTCCACTGGTAATCTGTACTCCTGCAAACTTGCTACTAAATCCACATTCTGAATGCCCCAGATCAAAATGAAGTTCCTTTAGCTGTATGACTCTGCTTGGACCTCCCTCCCCTGGCTCAAGATAACTGTTTGCTCCTTTTCATCTGCTCCACTTATGGAGGTTGATCATCAAATCACTACAGCACTGCCCCATGTTGTCTTTATTTCTGAGTTCAAACACCTTCTGAAGTGAAGTACTTTGATCATTTGACAGATAGCACACACAGAAATTAGGGGCAGGACTAAACCATTTAGCCTCTCGAGCTTTCGCTGAACTCTTGCAATTTGGGGCACCCCATTGCCAGGAAGGGAGTTGGTATTTTAAATACTTTAGTGAAGGTGACAGCCTCGAATTTAACCTGCTTTGCAGCCTTTACATTTTTTGCAGCCTTTACATGTTTTGCAGCCTTTGTGAAACCCAATGGCTGACGCAAGGTATGGAGTTGCAGCTTGTGGGCCTCTCTTCCTGTTCCTCAAGCTCCTGTCTGTCTGATTACCCCCCAGAGGCTGGGGATTAACCTCTCCCACAGAGCAGATTGCCCCATTAGGAACACAACATGGAAACAGACCCTTCAGTTCAACCTGTCCATGCCAACAGTAATCCCAAACTAAACTAGTCCAACCTGCCTGCACTTGGTCCATATCCTTCCAAACATTTCCTATTTATGTACTTATCTAAATGCCTTTAAACATTCTAACTGTACCCACATCAACCACTTCCTCTGGAAGTTCATTCCACACACAACCTCTCTCTCTGTAAAAAAAGTTGTCCCTTGTGCTATTTAGATCTTTGTCTTCTCACCTTAAAAGTATGCCCCCTAGTCTTGAAAACCCCCACCCAAGGGAAAAGACATCTGCCATTCACCTTATCTATAAGATGCATACTTTGGGGTTAAAATTCCAGTGGCAGCAACAGAGTGTTAAAACTCAACAGCATTCAGTGAAAGTCGAATCAGAGATAGTAGGAACTGCAGATGCTG